CCCCCCCCCAAAAAAAAAAGAAAAAAAAAAAGAAAATAGATGTTTCTACAGGCTCATGCCTGTAATCCTAGCTACTCAGATCTGAGGATAGCGGTGCAAGGCTAAAAAGTCCATGAGACTCTTATCTCCAATAAACTACTAACAAACCAGAAGTGGCACTGTGGCTCAAGTGGTAGAACGCTCACCTTGAGCTGAAGAGCTGAGGGACACTGCGTAGGCCCAGAGTTCAAGCCCCATGACCAACAAAAAAAAGATGTTTCTTCATAAAGGTAAACGGTAAAAACTTGTAAGAATAGATTTACTACAAAACCTAAAACTGATGCAATCTTCTGGAGGAAACACATGTGAATGAACTGAAACACATCACTATATCTTAACAAATGACTATCATGCTGGGTTCTAGCAGCTCATGCCTATAATCCCAAGAAGCTGAGATCTGAGGATGGAGGTTCAAAGCCAGCTTGGGCAGCAAAGTCTGTGAGACGTTTATCTCCAATTAACCATAAATAAAGGAAGTGGAATTCTGCCTCAAAGTGGTAGAGTGCTAGCCTTGAGCAAAAGCAGCTCAGGGACAGTGCCCAGGCTCAAGCCCCATGACCAACAACAAAAAAACATTTTTAAAAAGACTATCGTGTAATCCTAACTACTCAGGAGGCTGAGATCTTAGGATTGTAGTTCAAAACCAGCGCAGGCAGAAACATCTGTGAGACTCTAATTGATCACAAAAAAAAAAAAAATCACAAGTGAAGTTGTGCCTCAGTGGGTAAGAGTGCTAGACTTGAGCAAAAGAAGGTCAGGGAGGTTAAGCTTCAAGACAGGCACACGCACACGCGCGCACACACACACACACACAAGCGCGTGCGCACTTATTCACAAAGAGCCCAGGCCCAGAGTTCAAGCTCCATGATTGAACAACAAAAAAAGATACTACCCTGGAAATGGGCCCTTAATCAGTTATTTCTAATACATCTGTGCACATAGCCTGAAGATGGTTTTCTGTAATGTTGTCAGGGGGCTTGTGTTTTGGCTAGAACCAGTCACATATGGTGATTTTTACGTGTTGGTGCCCAAAGTTTCAGAATGGGCACTTTGTGACTAAGTTCTTACTCATAGAAATGACAGATAATGAGTGTAGTTTCTGGGTATTTTTGCTAATTGTATAAGCCATTTTCATTTATTTCCATTTAGTGTTCTAAGTCAGCTTTGACTATGCTTGCCTGATGAAATTAACACTCTTGGCAATAACAAAATGTAAAAGAAGAACAAGTCTGATTCCTAAATGATCCTGTATGGCCCAGAGTGAACATAGTAATCAGTGAACAAGTAATCAAACAGGAACAACAGCTTCTGTATTGTCTGAGCCATTATATTTTAGAGCTTCTTTGTTGCAAAAGCTTAAGTGTGCATGTCTATAACTGAAAGTTGATTTACAAGGCAAATTCCAATACTTAGTCTAAAACACTTCTTACAAAATGTTAGCAGGAGCCAGAGGAAGCATATCAGAGAGGAAACTAAAAGGGAATGCTGGGCAGTCCTGAGCCTCGCAGCCTGACTTTTGTGATATTCTCTTCCCAGAAAACCACAACTCTGCATAAAAACTGAAAAGTTTTTTTCCTGTGAACATGTGACCATGATATTTTCCTCACCTTGGTTCCCGATGCTTTTATTTTTTCCACATAATCCCAAACTGTCTGAGGTGATATCCTCCCACCTACTTGAATACTGTCTGGCAGATCCTGTAGTTTAAAAAATAATAATAATGAAGCCATCAATATGCATAAAATATCCTTAATGAAATACTAGAAATTCATATAAATTTAACTGATCAACTTAAAATGGTAAAAAAAAAAAAAGTAGGTAAATAGGACTAGGACACAGTTCAGTTGTAGGATGTGTGCTTATTAGCATGCATGAAGCCCCAAAACAGCAAGCAGCATATACTATGGTACAGAAAGGCAGCAATTAGGCCTTGTCTCTCATGACTCCAAATATATGTCTAAGATACCATTACTAAGAAAGACGGAGGTCAGATGGGTGTGTGCACAGCAAAGGGAAGCAATGTCCCCTAGCAGTCCAGAGAAGAACAAATGTATTTCAAAAACATTCACATATCCCATCTGTTGTTTGGGCTTTTTAAATTTGTTTTGTTTTAGTGATAGCAGACAGAGAAATAAATTGTTTAATCATTAACAGTTTAGCTTCAGAAGTCTGCACATTTAATCACAGTACATTTTTTTTTAATGAAGGCAACACTAAAGTAATTTAAGACTGTGTGTGTATGTGTGTGTGTGTGCACACGCGTGCTCATGCACACCTGTCCTGAGGCCTGGCTCTGTCTCTGAGCTTTATCTCTAGCAGTTAGCACTCTACCATTTGAGCCACAGCACCACTTCTGGCTTTTTTTGTGGTTAGTTGGACTTTCCTGCCTGTGCTGGCTTTGAACCATGACCCTGAAAGCTCAGCCTCCTGGGATCTGAAGCTAAGATTAGACAGGTGTGAGCTACCAGTGCTTAAGCTAAGATTAGGCAGGTGTGAGCTACCAGTGCTTAAGCTAAGATTAGGCAGGTGTGAGCTACCAGTGCCTGGCTCACAACAGACTTTTAAAAGACACTCTGAGCACTAGTACATTAGGTTAATTTCAGTCTCATCCAAAGAAAACTTGGTTAGCTTACAAAGAGCAGGTATATGAGTTAGACATTTAGAAATACTGAAAAAACTAATGGAAAAACTAAGTTTGACTTTAGTCAGTAGTCTGAGACTGTATCAGAATTGTAAATGTCACATATAAACATAGTTATCTGTGTGTTTATAGATATATACTGATTCAGTTTCCTTCTGCAACCCACATAAAAATATTCTTCCTTCAAGTCATACTTTCTCACTATGTCCAAAATTTTGGTGGTACTGTTTTTTATTTTCCACACACCCTATAATCTCCCCCTATTCCCTAAGGTATAAAAAACAGCTAAAGAGCTGGCACCAGTGGGTCATGCCTGTAATCTCAGCTACTAATTAGGCTGAGGTCTGATCTTGGATCGCCTTTCCAGATGAAGTTCAAAGCCAGCCCGGGAAGGAAGGTCTGTAAGACTCTTATCAACAATTAAGTAGCAAAAAGCCTGAAGTAGAGCTGTAGCAAAAGTGGTAGAATACAAGCCCTGAAGGAAAAACTAAGGGATACTGAACAGGCCCCAAGTTCAAGTTCAGACGCCGACGCCGACGCCGACGCCCCGGCCCCGCGCCGCGACCATTGGCCATCGCAAAGGGGGGCGGAGCTCTAGGCCCAACGGGGAGCTCCCTCTTTTACGCTCAA